ACCTCAACCAGAAATACAGACATCAGAAAATGGGAAAATGATAGATATGTGCTGGATGCATGCCAAAACACATGACAACACATCACGGACATCAAGAAACAGAGAAACAGGTGGGGTAGTGCAACTCTCTTGTTCCCAGCTGGTTCCCCTATTGTCTGCGTCTGTTGGGGAAAATGCCACGCAGGTCTGTCCGGTGGTTTCCCTGCTCTGAAGAAGAAGAAGAAGAAGACAGGATTACGGTTTCCTGAATGGGAAGGTTCAGCATCCAATTTAGATGCTGTTTTTCCGCCATTGGTCCAGTTTCTTATCAGGCAGAGCAGAGTGGGTTTCCTGAGCCTGTCAAAGAATGGCCAGTGACGGGAGGAGAAATCCTGTTTGTAAATCACACCACAGGGACGTTGCTACTGCTGTCACGGGACTTTGTTTACTTTGTTTTACTACCGTTGTCTTATCCTGTTGACAAGGCAGCGCAGTGGTGTGTATCGCTGATGTAACACATTCAAAAAATGCACAGAAAACACACACAAAAGCCTCCATCCCCTTGCACCAGGTGCCAATGTAAGAAGGCAAAAGAGGAGATGCACTTCACCTCCCATGGATGACGCCTCACCCACTATGCACTTATTGATAACACATGACAGCTTCGTATCAGTAGCACGTGAGGAAGCAGAAGGTCAGTGTGTTCGGGGTGACAGGAAACATGTCTGGGCATGACACCAGTTCTCACAATCAAACATACTGAACATTGATCAAGTAAAAGGGTTGAACATATGACTCTGTCTCTGATTTGCACATGGACATACAGCTTTTGCCAATGCACACTCTAGGTGTGTGTATTTTATTGTAAGTTAAAGGCCGCAGTTACAGTTGGCTGCACCTTAAAAAAGAGGAAAAGGGAGTTAATGCTGCATGAGAGGAACAGGATGCAGGTTCATAGTCAAATTAACCACACATTTCTTTTCTTTTTTCTTGTTGTTTTCATGAGAAGACTTTTTTTGGTGTACACCACTTTGATCTACGGCTCACGTATTTCAGTAGAAATTAAAATAAGGTTAACAGTGGTTGCTGTTGTGGGCGTAGTTAAGAATAGTTTTACTGTACTATCACTTCATATCAGAATTTTCCATTTCAGACTTTTACAATTAAAAGTAACTCTTTAGATTATAATAATCAGCAAATATTGTTAACATATGGGGTGCCATTACACTGCTGAATGTACTGGCTTCCTACTGACAAGGAAAGAAGTACAGGGAATAAGGGGTTAACAAATGTGCGTTCAAGAGGACCTAGAAATAAATTACACTGTAAGTACTTTAAATGAACTGGTGGGTCCACCAATTTGGTCTTGACTGAGATATCTCATCCATTATTGAATAGATTGATGTAAAATTTGGTACAGATATTCATGAGCCCCATGTGAATCCTAATGACTCTGGTGAACCCCTGACCTTTCCTGTAGTACCACCAGCAGATCAAAATGTTCACTTATCCACTGAAACATCTCAGCATCTACTCAGTGGATTAGGATAAGTAAGATTTGGTTGAGATATTCATGGTCCCTAGAGGATGAATTGTACTAACTTTGTTGATCCTTTGACTCTTCGTCTAGCAGAAATACTTTGGTTTACAGCCAAATGACTGCAAGAATAATGATATCCCATTCAGCGTTGGATGAACTTTGTATTTAGCACAAATTAGCAACTGTTAGCATTCTAATAGTCTAAACTAACAGTCGTACATATTCAAAACAAGTCAGACTAGATCATAAATCTAGTAGTATTTTACTCAGAAATACATTTTTGTAGTGTACTATTGAGAAAAGGTATTTATTTCTGTATTTATTTCACAAAAATATATTTGGTATATTTTGGTCTATAAAATGTCAGGAATTGTGAAAAATGATTACCACACTTTCCCAAAGTCCATGGTGTTTTTAAATGTCTCGTTTTGTCCGACAGCCCAAAAACTCAAAGATATTGAAATCATAGGAGACTGAAGCAGAAAATATAGACCTTTGAAAAGCTGGAAATTGAGAATTTTAGCAGCTTTTTAAAAGGACTGATAATCTAAACTGTCGCAATTAAACTTTCAATTCAGTCAGTTGACTAATGGGTTAATCCATTGATATTTGCAACTTCAGTGACCGACAGAAGATGTTACCCCTGTCTCTGTTTAATTGAAAAAAGACCTTCAATTCAATTCAATAAAAGAATACTCTGCTTTGAATAATATTTTGTCTCTCTGTATATATTACAGGCTTGACACCCTGCCAGACAATATTTTAAAACAAGGACATTTTCTATATACTTTCAGATTCTTAAAAGCACATATACTCCTTTTCCTTCATTGACAAATCTATAAATATGCAAATGTTTAATTTCAGAACTGCTAGATATCCCCTGCTCCACTGAAAAGTCCATTCTCAGTGTGCTGTATGCACTGGAGGTTTCAAGTTTTCACATCACAACTTGTTGCACATTGGACCTCGACTGATGAGCTCACAATATCAGGCTTGTATATTTATGTAACATTTGTATATTTCAGATTTAAGATGAGCACAGACTAACTTTACCTTTAGCAGATGAATGTGAAAACAGCCTTTTAGTGTGTCTACATCTGCACAGTGAAGATCAAACACCCAAGTAACAACAAACAAAAACACATTTTTGAGTAGAGGTGAGATGCAGAACCCTTGTTTACAGTAGTATTCATAGCAAGGAACTGATCTCATCACTGCACTCATACCTAAAAGGTGGCTGACTGGATAAGATATGCAGTAAGCAAATACTCAGTTTGAATGTCCTGTTTTCAGTGTGAACCACTAACTGACGCTCTGGTGATTAATTTGCTAATTCAATAGGTGTAATTACGCTGATATGAAAGGGTCTAACTACCACTGTAACTCCTGACTGACGCAAGCGGACACAGCGAGCCGCGCCGCTCTCGAATCCCCGGACTCGGATGTGACGTCGCCACGGCGGCGCGCTGTGGCGGTCTCCCCGGCAACGCCGCGTGCTGCAGTGACGCCAGCCGAGGCCCCGGCTCGTGGTGAGTGGGCGTGACTCGCCACGTTAGCCCCCCCCCTCTCTCCCTCCCTCTCTCCGTCTCCGATCGACTCCTCCTCGATCCCTCCCACCCTCATCTCATCCGTCTCCCTCCTCCTCTCTCATTCCGATCTATTAGTCTCACTCTGCCACGTTATCTCCACTCGTCCCTCGCCTCTCTCGTCTGCTCCTCTCCGTCATTGTGTACCAACCAGTTCACAAAAACAGGCCCTCTCTCTCTCACTCTCTCTCTCATCTCTCTCTCGAGAAAGGAGTCTTTCCTCAATCTTCTTTCTCCCCTCCTCCCTCTCTCTCAGTCTCTCTCCCTCCCTCTCTCTCTCTCTCTCCCTCCCCCTCTCGCTCTCTCTCCTCTCCCCAAAATCCTCCCTCTCACACGCTGCAGTGGATTGGGGGCGGACCTCGTCTCAGAAGAAGAGCGAGCGAAACACGATACCGGCGAAGGAAGGAGAGAGCACGGGGGCGAGGAGAGACTAGATACTGAGAGGTGGTGAGAAGTGAGTGGAAGACTTAAAGAAAAAAAAAAAAAAAAAGTCTGTAAAGAAAGAGAGGTTCCTCTCCAAACGTTTAATTTCTGTCAAAGAAGGTAACAACAGCTGTCGCGGCGGACCGGAGAGGATCAAACAAACGGCGAAGATGCGGTTGGACGGAGTAAAACGGCTACCCGGAGCAGTTACGAAACAACTTGATTCAAAGAAGAAACAACGATCCTTTCTGTTTTTTTTTTTTTCTCTCCGGCTGCGTTCTGAGTCGGGACCCTTGCCGTTGTTTTTCTCCGCCCGCGACTTGAGCAGACTTCAATCGCTGCTGGTTGGCGGCGACCCGGACCGTCCGGCGAGGTAATCGACCGCACGGCTCGGCAACCGGGATGGACCAGGTGGATGAGCTAGGTGGTGCACGCCATGTGTTGAAACAGAAGCGGTCGGGCGTGGTTTTGGTTCGGCCGGGGGCGAGAAAACGCGACCGATGAACTGCGCGGCGACTCGAGGGGCGGAGCAGAGAGAAAGAGAGAAAGAGAGCCGCGGCCGAAGCTGAAGCTACAAAAGTTTGCCGTATCTTCACCTAGTTTTCCAGATTGGGAACAGGAGGAGGGGGAAGGAAGGAAGGAAGGAAGGAAGAGGCCGAGAAGGACTGACTTTTCTTTCCACATCAACTTTGTGGAAACCATCGTATTCAGCTCAAACTTTACCCGCTTGCTAAGTTAAATAGCTGCAGCAGAAATAATGAAAACAGCTGGAGATTCCGGTAAGTTTGTGCTCTGATTTATTTATTTTTTGTTGTTGTTGTGTATCCACCATTGTCTTTCTTGTTTACTTGTCGGGGTTGTTGGTCGACCAGTAACCTGATTAATGCTGATTAATGAACGAGCCGGGTAGTTATCAGCATCCGCTTCCAATCGAGAAAACACAATGAAAACCTGTTGATTTTTACTTGTTCAGGAGTCCGTGTTTTTTTTTTTTTTTTTTTTTAAAGCTAGATATCCCAGCAGCAGTTATTTTATTGGGGACGGGAACCTCTTCAGGAGGGGCACAGTAAGAGCTTTCAGACTTGTGGGCAAACAAACTTTGCACAGAAGTCTTCGTCTTTGGCTCAAGTTAAAATTCACTTCAAAGCTCACCAAGCAGATCAACTTTTTAATTCTCTGTATATTTTTTCAAAACATTCAACATTCATGAATATTGATTTATACATAGGCAAGTGATATTTTGTGTTTGTTGACTGTACATTTTGACATATTTTTACTGTGGATAGGATCATGTGGTCAGTTTTGAGATTTTGAGTTTTTCTAGTTTTAATGTTCTAAAGAGAATTAGAACAGTATTTACATGAAGTTCTTCTATTTCAATCTATTTTTTATAGTTTGCCTAAAGGAAAAAAACTAAATGTCACAGTGAGTAAAGCTGAAGACTGTATTTGTGTCTCTCTGTGTGTCTGCAGGCTCACCTGGTGGCAGCCTTCGAGAAGAGCCTGAGTAACATGACCTGCCGCCTGCAGAGCCTCACCATGACCGCTGAACAAAAGGTACAAGAGCTTAGTCCTGAATTTGAAATATACTGCATATGAACTGCTTGGCAAAGGGATTAAAGGGAGGAAGAATGATTAGAAACAGGCAATGGTGTGTGTGACATTGAAATAGTGCAGAGGAAAGTAACAGTGTTGAGGTGTGTGGTTGCGGATTAATGGATGTTTTTATCTTTAAGTTTCAGTTCCTGACTCATGTGAGGTTTTCTACTGAAGTTTTCATTTTCACAGAAGGGTTTTCTTATTGAAGTTTTGGTTTGTTGCCTGAATATTTCTCTTAACTTTACTAGAAAAAGTGTCCAGTTTTGCATGGGCATGCATCCACATATTCCACGAACCCAATGCCCAAAAGTCTATTTAAAACCAGTATATTGTCTAAAAATCGTCCTGCATTTAGTTGCTCCAAGGTCTATTTTTCTCCATTTTCTTAGAAGTCAACTTTTCTTTAACTGACAGGAGGTTTCAGAAGAGCTTGAATATCGCTGAAGCACTGATCACACAGCAGGAGCAATATGTTCAAAGATATATCCACAAATTATGAATGCTTCCCTCTGTTCACACATCCACACACACACAGTGCTGACGAGCCCTGGCAGCTTTTTAATCCTCTATAAATTAAAGCAGCCCGGGATCTGGTGGGATGTCTTTGTTAAACAAGGCTGTCCCAACTTTTAATTAAAGTAGAAACCCTATCTGAAGCCCTCAGTGGGTTTTTTTAAGGCAAGGCAGAATAGAAGACTCCCCCAATCTGATCGTGTTGGTTCAACAGAATAGAGCTTTTTTTTTATTCTAAGCAGGTGGTGCTGGGGTTGGGGCAAATCCTCTGGGAGACTCTTCAAAATACCCTCCCTTCATTTCTGTCTCATTCTCTTCATCTGAAAGCAATGCCAGTGCCAATTTTAAGAATTTGCTTCCAGTGACGCAGCTTTTGTGTTGATTCCACACACTTGGCCAAAAGAAGAACAGTTTGTGGTGCGTCATCCTTTAAAAACAGTCTCTCTCTCCAGGAGTCTGAGTTGGCTGAGTTGAGGGAGACGATAGAGACTCTAAAGACCCAGAACACAGACGCCCAGACAGCCATCCAGGTGGCTCTCAACGGCCCTGACCACCTACACAAAGGTAATGACGAAACCAGCAGGGAGTGTTGGACCAAGCTCAAATCATCTGATGTTTTGAGGTGGCCTTAAATGCCTTACTGTTCTACGAGTGGGTACATTTTTCATCCTGATTGGCCCCAGGGGGAGTTGAACCCCTAATACTTGAAGTGTTTGTGCTGCATAGGTCAGTTTTGGAAAGCCTTGATTAGTCATAGAAGCAACCTGGATCAGATGTGTAATCTTTTTTGTGAAATGACCTTTTCAAGTATCTAACTAAGTTATAATTCTTAAGATTTCCATGAAATCAACTCTGATACTGTTTATGATCTGCATTTTTCAGCAAAAGTCTGACATTCTCGCACTGACTACCAATTGCTTTTACATGCACAAGGGCTTCACAGGAAATGACACATGCATGTTAATCCTCCTACAGCTGTATCAGAGCTGTATTAAGTTACTGCTGACCTTAACCAAACATTTCCTACTGCTGCTAATTCACATTAAAAGTCTTTAAATGGTGAAAACACAATTTTATTCTGAAGTAGTCACAGGAAACACATTTGTTGCAGAGGTTAGCTCTGACAGTGATCATTCATCAAAAATGTGTACGGGGAATTATTCACACTGTGCAACATGAAATCAGATAATGGTTGCAATTATTTTTGGGTTACTTCTTTATTAAAATAACTAAGTGTGCTGTACTTCTGACAAAGAACTTTAAAACAAATGTTTTCTTCAATATCTGATTCCAGCAGTAAACATGGGTGTCACCCAAATCAACCAGGACTGAAATTGTAAGGATTATAACTTTAAAGAGAGAATGATCTCATCTTTTCAGAACAATAAGAAAGATTGTCTCTGTCATTTTTAGACTTGCGGATTAGACGGCAGCACTCGTCAGAAAGTATGTCCAGTATCAACAGCGCAGCCAGTCACTCCAGCATGGGCAGTCTGGGCAAGGATGCAGAAGACAAAAAGAAGAAGAAGAAGAGCTGGGTAGGTGGAGAAACTAAAGAAACTGCCAGCATTGTGAGACAAAGGCTGCAAAGGAAGGTTGAGTCCAAAAATAATGAACTGCTCGACTGCACAAAATGCCAGAAAATATGAAAGACAAACTTCAGTTCCCTGCCACAAATAAACAAAAGCTGTAAATAACTCATCAATAATTTCGCTCTGCTACTTGTGTGCTGAGGTGCACCTACAGGTTTTGTAACTCAAGTGTCTTCATCTCAAACCTACCCATTCACATGCAGCAGACACTGGGAGCCTTACATTTTTATATTTAGTTTTCTAGTCATTGTTAAGGGGGTGGATTTGGACGTGACAGACCAAATTCAAAAACATATGAATTATTCAGTGGCAGTAGCTAGTCCAAATATACTCTTTATGCCTGCATTAAACTTCTTTACATAGATGAAGGCATTTTTGTGGATCTATGAAAAAATCCTTACTGTACTGCTGCAACCACTAAAAGGGCTTCAAAATCAGCCCAATGTGAAGGTAGAACACATTTACTATTCTGAACATACCTGCATAAAGCTTGACCCTAACCATGAGCTCAGGAGGACTGGGGTTGCTTTGGTGGCACAAGTACAAAAGTAGTGTGATGATTTCTACCCCAAATGGCAATGCACCTTTATTTATTTCTATGATTTGCATTCCCGTTCTTCTTCCCTCTTTCATCTCTTGTGAAAAATTGGTGTTAAAGTGCGTGGCTGTGTAAGTGGTTCAGCCTGTGAATAACTGGCCCAATTTTAAACCGGTCACTGCTTGCAGCATCAAGCCAACACTTGCTTTCTTACTTTAAAAGTGTTTTTTTATGTTTGGACACTTTTGCGGGTGGAGGCAAGGCATGTTGGGAGTTCCATAAGTCTAAAATCCCATTAACTTCTGCCTTACAACAGCACAGTCTGCCATCATATCCCGGTTGCTAAGTTACAGTGCTGAGGTGGTGTCGGCTGAGCGGTACCATTCAGCGGTGAGGGCTAACAGAGGGGTCAAGAAGAGGAGTCAACCACCCTGCAATTATTGTTTGAGACGCACTTTGAATTTCACATATAAGAGCATGCAAATTAGGTTGGGAAGAAGCAAAGTGGCCACTAACATCATGGATACTGAAGTTCAGGTTGAAACCAGGGCAATAGTTGTTAGACAAGTGCCAGTTTAGTCTCTGTGTTAAGTGGGGAAGTCTGGGCAGAAGAGACAAACACTCTCGACATCTACTGTCAAAGTACTTTGGAGGGTTCTTAATCCCTCAGTTACTCAACTGGACTTGGACTGGAAGTTTGGCATACATCTTCCACAAAGTTTATTTTAACTTATGTGTCTTTTTGGGAAATGTACCCAAAAATATCCACAAATCAAGGTAAAAAAAAAAGCCAAAAACCCAAATGATCTAAAAATTCAATACACAACCATGAAGCTCTCTCCTCTCCCTCTGCCCTTCTCTCTGATTCCACTGCCTCTCTGCTTCACTCTGCAATAGCAGCTCAGTGTCCCCACTGGCTGGAGAGCTGTTATTTGCTGCAGCCCCCTGAGTCAGACACATGACATATTAGAAGTTCCGTCTCAGCCAAAGAGCACAGAGCCAGAGCCAGTTTTCAGTCTCGGCTGCAATGCAAAACGCTTGCCCTTGAAATGAAATGCACGCTAACGGCCCCAAAAGTTCACCACCGAGAGTGACACCCTAGCCTGCCATGTTAAGTGAGAACCCAAAAAAATTCAAGTCAGGCTCATGTATGCAAATCAATCCCTTATTTAAGCAGCAATTAATTATTCATTTGCATAAAGTTCTGCCTCGGTGCACACAGGAGGGGAGACACGGATAGAGTTGAACTAAGGTCACTAAAAAGGGTGAGCAACAGATCACGCTAACAGAGGAAAACTGGAGCTTTTCCCAGAATGCTATGGGCAGTGTTGTAAAATGTTTAAATGAATTTACTTGAACTTAAATGAACTGCGTTTGTGTGTCCTCGTTAGCATGAGTATTGTCCTGTTTATTTCATGCAGCATCTTGTGGTACATGCTTATTACTGTATATGCTTGTTTGGTGCCACATACTGTACTTATACTGTAGGTCTTGTAAACAAAATGCACTAAACAACCATATAAAAAACATTTGTTTTCTTTGCATGGGAACCTAATCATCAGTTTGCTTCAAAGCATAGCCCCAAACCCCAATTGCAATTATGTAATAGGAAGTACCAACCAAACTGGCTGTGCAGAAACGCCCAAAGACCTACAACACTATTTCTCACTTGTGTCACAATTCACATATGACAGAAAGCATCACTCCAGGAAGGAATATGTCACTGAAATCAATTTACACCGATATCACAGGATCATTCTCAAGTGTTTCAAGGTTTTCTGCCATTCAGAACCGCTATCATGTAAAAATGATCAGCGCTGCTATAAGACAGCCATTAACAACATAATGTTCCTCCCTGTCATGCCAGTAAGCATTTTGGAATACCAGTCACCAGGTTTTTCAAGCAGTCAACACCCATGTTCCCTTTGATAGGGTGTCGACGAGTGGTGAAAGTGTTCAATAAATCAGAGGCGATGGAAGCATTTAGCTTAAATCACTCCTCAAGTGAGCAGGAGTGTGTGTTTGTGTGGCTTAACGCTGGGTGTGTTCTGCATCTTCAGGTGGCTGACTCCATCCCGGCTCAGGTCAGTGGCTTCCAGAGTGTCTTCTGTGTGTGTGCTGTGGTTGTCCCCCCGATCCGCCCCTTCCTTCGCTCCCTTATATGTTCCTCCTTCTTCCCCCTCTCAGAGCAACCTCTTCTTTCTCCTCTTTCTGGAAACGTCGGCATGGATACGGCAACCCTCCCCTGCCCTCCCCCCCTTGTTCCTCCCTCCTCCTTTTCCTCCTCCCTTGTTCATTTTGATTGCTTGTTCAGCTATCATTTTAGGGTCATTAAAAAGCCTGGTCCCCATTTTCATCTCTACTTACGGCCTTGCTTTTTGCCTCCCTCTTTACCTAAACCAGACAGTGACCATTGCTTGGAAACAGCACGGAGTGACTTCCTGATCTGGCAGGATGTGATGTCACTAGAACTGACATGTTGTGATTATAGAGGTTGGTGGGTGGCGATATTGACGCCTCTGCCCCTGTGTGTATTTGTGCTATCTGTATTACAGTTACGCAGCTCGTTCAAGCAGGCGTTCAGCAAGAAGAAAACCAAATCCCAGTCGGCTCACGATGAGATGGAGGAGATGAGCGACTCGCTGCCGTCCTCACCCAAACTGCAGCACGACAACAGGCAAGGCAGCATCGCCACGCTGCGCTCCTCGCCCTCCACCACAGAGTGAGTTTTTACACATGCATCCACATTCATATACACATGTAATTCTATCCCCTTGAACACACTTGCATATATTATTGCATACAACTTGAAAAACATACAGTTATGTTTTGTTCCCTTTTCTTGTCTAAGTCTAAATTCTTTTCACTGTTATTTTTTTGTTTTGTTTTCACAAATGTCTGTTAATCCTCACCTCACCATTCTTTTACCCCTGTTTCCGACCACTCTGCTTATCCTTTTCTTTAACATCTCTCTGCCTGCTGTAGCAAGTGCGTTTGCGATAGCAAGTCCTCCCCCATTTGGACTTCAAAGAAAAAGCAAAACGGTCACATGGTCTACAAGCACAGATCTCGGTAATAGGCACTGTGTGGCCTGCTCCCAGGGAGTGTGTGTGCAGTGGGGTGTGTTGGTGTGACTTTCTTCTGCATCTTAATGCCATGAACACCTCGGCATGTCGGAGGTGATGATCGGTCTGGTTCACAAACTGGACCAGAACCTCTGAGGTGTCCGAAAGTAGCAGTAGACTGAATAAAGAGTGAAAAGAATCAGCAGTTTTTTGTTATGCTCAACAAATTGGCTCTATGTCACCGCTAAAGGGACAACATGTGGCTATTTCGCCAACCAGCAACAAGCATGCAAGTACTATACACATCTGGTATGCTGTGTAGCAGCTGGTGCGATAATTTCCTTTTTAAGAAGGCGGCAGAGCATGTGGACATGCCAGTTTTGAATTGTTTTTGACTTAGCAAAATAGCATTGCATCTAACTCTAGTTGTTGTATTAGACCTCTGCCTGTTTATTGTGAAAATATATCTGAATCATGATGAGGCTACCACCACAGCACTTACTGTATAGCCCACACTAAAGAAGGTCTCCAATATAACCGCAACTTTTATATTTCAGTTGTTCATTGTGCTAGCAAATGTCATCTGAAAAAATAATGAACATTGTAAATGGGAAGGATTCGTTGTCCTAAATGTCCCAGTTCCCCATTCACCTCCATGTTGTACCTGTGCGTTTTTTTCACCACTGACTCCAGCTTCCCTCTGAACTTCAGCTCTCTTGTTTCCTTTAAGTGTGTAATTTTTCTCTCCAGATTGTGGGTGTGTGTGTGTGGTATAACCCTTGAGGTGACCCCCTCCTCCTCCCTGTGTGTAATCCCGGTTGCAGGCTCTGCGAATGCACCGAAGCTGAGGCTGAAATCGTCCTCCAGCTGAAGAACGAGCTGAGGGAGAAGGAGCTCAAGTTGACAGACATCCGCCTGGAGGCACTTAGCTCCGCCCACCACCTAGACCAGATCCGAGAGGCCATGAACCGCATGCAGGTGAGGTCACACTCTACTGCTAAACGCAGGTGGAGCTTGTGCTGACTGACCTGTGGGCATGTATTTATGTTTGGAGAGCATTGTGGTGAAGAATTCAGCTCTAACTATCAAATTCAAACTGGATGTAGTTCTGTTCTGTTCCTGCCAAACAGGAAGGATTCTGTCTTGCCCTCAGTCGTGTTTATACCCTTCTTGCATCACATGGAAAAATAAGTACTTTTGGTTGTACTTCGGCAAAACTTCACTCTGTCTGTCCAATTTATTTGGGTTAAAGTGGTGTGTTTCTCCCTAAAGGCGTAAGAGCATGACAGCAACCAGTTAGGAAGTTAACAATGCATTCAGGCTCGTGGATGTCTTACAGGGCACCAGCGGGGCACCAGGAGGGCTGAAGGCAAACTAGCTAATCTTTGACACATATTAACACACACACAGCAACACAGAGCCTCTCATAATATATTTATACACTTAACACTGTGACAGGTCAACTATTGAATTATAGGTAATGATGGGAAAATCTTAAAGCCCCTTATCAACCCATAAATTCCAGGAACTATGGCCCCAGAGGAGCTAATGTTCCCAGTGAGCTCTAAACCCAGCAAAGACAGTTCAGTTTCACACTCAGAAATGGATTTGGTAAAGTTAATGACAGTAAGGAAATACGTTTTACTTACAATATTAAAGGAGTACATTTTTTGTGTGACATTGGAAGTGAAAGAGTAGTTTATGTACCAGACTATTTCTTGGCCAGGACTAATAAAGATCTAAATATAATTTTGCACATAGCCCCCTGAACTGTCCTTTTCTGTATTTTTAGTTTTTATATAGATTAAGCATACAAGGTATAACATGTTAATTAGTGATTAGATGGACTTTTTTCAGTCTTTATGTAAGCTAAGCTAACTGGCTGCTGGCTCCAGCTACAAATTAACCATTCAAACTTGATTGTGGTGTCAGTCAAGAAAGATGTAGAGAACTACAAGGAAATAAAAAAAACAAGCGCTAGGTAGCTGTCCAGCTATCACGAAGCACAGTGAGCTAGCACGCCGTATCATCTGCAAAACAGGCAATTAATAAATTACTTGCTATTGTTTCAATTTTAAAGTTAAGGGAAAGAAGCTTCAGAAAGGTGGAATGAAATTATTTGTTTGCCCATGAAGCTGAATAAAAATATGCAGCGAAGTTTTCTCCCTGCAAATACACACATCTGATTTATTTATATAATTCCTATTGATGTATTGCAATGAAACGCCACCCATCATCAGTTCAAAGTATAATGTTCAGAGGTGCTGCGTCATTTCATATTCTTAAAAGAAGCAAATGTTCAAAGAATTTCACCCAAAATGTCTCAGTGAAGTGGATCTTTGTGGATGTGGATTGCCTTGTCTGTAAAAGCCTATAGTCTCCTCTCAGATCTGGGGATCATGTAAGGCTTCTTATCTGAGACTTACCCTTCAGTACAAAGAGAGCCTTCAAGATCAAAAAGCCGCTTACAGCCCATAATTCCAATAATACTGATTGAGAATAACAACAGTGGCCAGCTTGAATGCAGGAAAATGACCGTCTGCTATTTGAGCAGACAGTTATCGGAGTCTTTGAAAGCAGTTGTCTAATTCTCATTCTTTTGTCAATCAACAGAACGAGATTGAGACACTGAAAGCAGAGAACGATCGCCTCAAGTCCAGCGGTAACGCCACGCCAACAGCCACGCCGATCAAGATGGCTCGGCCACCCTCCGAGACTTCCAGCACGTCGTCGTCCTCCTCGCGTCAGTCCTTGGGGCTGTCACTCAACAACCTCAACATCACTGACACCATCATGTCAGGTCAGTTCAGTGTCAACTCAAAAGTGTTTGTGTAAATCAGCGTTAGCAGCCTGTAGTTTTCTCTGAGAGGTGAGAGTGTGGGAGTGAGTGAAATAGTCTTTATGTCTTGACAAACAAAAAAATTATTCACCTGAGAATGTTTCTGGCAGGTGCATTCATATAATAAACCTACAAGTATGGCATTGTAAGTGCCACGTTCTTATGTCTGGTTAAGCTGTAGGACACACTTCATGGTCTGCAGCAGCTCTCAGGGCAGAAGGTTTTCTTTCTGTGGCATCAAGTTGGATTAGCTCTCTCCATACTTGCCTCAATAAATGTGAGAGAATTGCGTTTGCGGAGAGAAATGATCCGGAGGAGCCATATGAAGTGATGAAATAGCTGCTCTCTCTACTGCGAGGGCTCGCAACACAGCAGGAGCCACACACATACGCATACATGAACATGCGCTGTAAATCTCTTCAGGCCTGCTCCGTTAGAGAAGTGAAAGAATTTTGTCCCTCTCTCACTTGTCCTGTAATTAACATAGAAGGCACTGCTCCTCTCCGAGGACTCGGGCCTTCGTTAATTGATGAAGGGATGAGCCGAGAGCAGTGACGCGTGGGAAGACGAGTGGGCCAACGGGCCGTTATCGCCCCAACACAGAGCCCTCAGCTAAGGGAAGCCAGCCGAATACAAAGTACCCCCTTCCCTTCTCCAAAATGGAGTCTGGGAAAAAGAGAATGAAGAGACTTATGATGGTGGGGGTGGGAGTTGTTAGTGGAGTGGTTATTGTCAAAGGTTAAAGGTGGCAGAGAACAAACTAATAGAAACATGGCTGCGGACAAATTGGACTGTGATCTATTTGCTGCAGTTTATACTCCCTTTAAGCTGCTATAATCAACATTATTAAATGAATACTGGATCACATGACTACGTGTTTGTGAAAGGTATCACTCTTAGTGACAAACCCACAGAAAATGTATCACCTAACTCTGCCCCCAGCTTCACAGAGCATTTTAGTGTCTTTCAGATCATTGTTTTAGTTTTCCAGCCACTCTCCTAGTGTTATGTTTTGGCAGAAACAGGCAGAGCAAAATCTCTAAAAGCCCTTACACTACCTGCACAGATGATAGACAGACAGACAGACAGACAAATTTAGTGGCTAACTATTTAGCTAGTGAACATAGTGGAGCATTTAGCAACTGAAGAGCCACTTATTTTCTTCAGGAGTTGGTGGAGACCAAAAATATATCTCTAATATATCTTTACAGTTGGTTTCCACTGCTCTTTAGGTTAACTGAGAACTTCAGTGGTTGTGGTGAAAAATGACAAAGGCTTCAGATAACATTGATCAGTAATCAAGGTAAAAAAAAAAAGTTTTCAATCTAGAACGATAATAGCAAAACAAAGTCTCCTGATATTCGATCTTTTAAAAGTGAACTAATGACCAGAGAAAGGATCAGTTGTCAGCCGGCCTTCAGTTATGTTGCTGTTTGTGCACAATGACACAAATATAAAATGCGTTACGTGTCTGATTTGTGAGAAGATGTTAAAATAGCTGTACGGTGATGTTTGTATCCCCCACTCTATTACGCACACAATGTTGGTGAAGTCATTTATTTCTTCAGACAACTGTCTCTTCTCTTGGTTACTCAGTGATATTGTCCCACTGCTGTCATGATAACCCATCCTCTTACTGACTAAATGTTCAACTCTCAACAAATACCTCAGATTAATGATTTTTCATCTTCTCATCTTTTTCTTTGTCTCTCTCCCTTAGATTGTACTCTCCTAATCTAATTTCCTAACACACAGTCGTTCTCACATTATCATTCTGATCACTCACTAGCAACCTCTCTGTATAAAAACATTGATAAAATGTAAAAGTAATTATCACATGAAAGAAACCCATTAGCTATCTTTTACTTTGGAGTCTGTTTGTTCATTTCCAGCTATAATTTGCCAGCAGGCAGAATCCGCGTTTGTTTATAATGAATCAAAACTCTAATAGATTATAGTTGGAAACAGAAGATAGACATAATACGTGAATAGATCTTATATAAACATAAATAAAGAAAAAGAGAGAGGGTAGAATAGAGAGAAGAGAAGGAATAAAAATCTATATGTCAGTGATGATAGTAATTGTGATAATTCTTGCAATCAGTTTCAGATATTCTGGATGACAGCTACGAGGGCAATCTACGCAAAGAGGGCCGCAGTGTGCGAATAGTGGTTACCATCAGCAGCTGGCCAAATATCACCAAGGTTAGTAGAGGAAGATTTTACATTATTTCTCTTTTCCTGCAGCTATAACACTCTCTTATAACACAACTCTTTATTCTGACTTGTTTTAATGAATTTGACAACTCTTCAGGGTATACAGAGCCAGGAGTACCTGATTGGGTCTATAGGCGTGAGTGGGAAAACCAAGTGGGATGTCCTGGATGGAGTCATCCGGCGCCTCTTCAAGGTAAACAGAGCATTGCTCATTGGTTCACTGCAGACACTTTGACTTGTCATAGCAGTAAAAGCAGCAGTAATGATGGTTCAGTTCCATTTAGGTTTATGTAATAAGTCACTCCAAATGCAACTCAAAATGCCTGCCATGATGTTTGTCCAGATATTTGTGGAAGTTGAATCGTCACAGTACAGCCACCAAGCACACAAAATGTGCTGTATATTATAGTTGTAATAAGAAACCAGGGACTTGTTAATGAGCAGGATACTTTTACAAATAATGCAGCATTTTATGCCTACATATGAATTAAAAAAGCTGCACTGATCATGTCCTCTCAAGGGATGTTTGTGTATGTGCCTGTTCTAAAAGGTTATTTAACAGGATTTACTGGGCATTCATTTAATTTAAAATACTATTTAAGATGAGACGAATTGAAAAAGAAAATGCACACGCTCTGATTACAAATGTTGTATCCATACACCCACACAGAGGCCCATGTTTATTAAAGACAGTTTATTCCACTTGAGTGCCTGGAATTCAATTTTGTATGCCACATCGTCCCCATGGATGAAGACATACTTTTTGAAATTAGCCGAAATTTAACTTAAGTTAAACCACAGTTTGAATAAAACTGATTCATTATCAGTTTGAAGATATGTCTAACAGCAATACTCACAGCCTATATTTACACATTATCAATAGTGCACCTCTTCATCTTCCATTGTTGTCTAACCCCTCCCTCCCTACAGGAGTATGTGTTTCGGGTGGACCCTCTGACCAGCCTGGGTCTCAGCTCAGACAGCATCGTCTGCTACAGGATGGGTGAGGTGGTTCGCTCCCACGCCTCCGAAGTGCCTGAGCTGCTGCCCTGCGGCTACCTGGTGGGCGACAGCAATGTCATCAAGGTCAACCTCAAAGGTATGGCAGCAAGGAAACATGGGAGTTTCTATTTCAGGATGACGGCTAATGTAGAAACCAGGTTTGAATTTGCAGGGAGTGTTTTGGAGCAGATAAATATATATTACCTTGTAACTCATTTAACTCTGTAATATATAACTATATTCATCCTATTCTCGTCCTCTTCCTAGGTGTGAAGGAGAACAGTATTGACAGCCTGGTCTTTGACACGCTGATTCCGAAGCCCATCATCCAGCGCTACCTCAACCTGTTGATGGAGCATCGTCGTATCATCCTCTCTGGACCCAGCGGCACAGGCAAATCCTTCATGGCCGCCAAGCTGGCCGAGTACATTATTTACCAGATGGGGCAGGAGGTGACTGAGCACAACGTGGCCAGCTTCAACGTGGACCAGAATTCCAGCAAGGTGGGAATTCAAACTGGTAGTTTGGGGTTTGGGATTTTTCCCAGTCTGCCTTATCCACAGTACTTATGCTTTAGTTTAGTTGATTCTTACATTGCCCAGAATGCTCTCAAGAACTATTATGACTAGTTTAGCTGATTTTTCTTCTCCATGGCTGGATTTAGCTTCTGCCTTATTATGTGGGACAACAAACCAAGATGTTAGTTCACCATAACTGATATATCTATTTATGTAACAGTTGGGGAGCTTTTGGTTTTTAGCTGTTTTGTTTTGACTGCACATTTAGCTTGTTGTTTTTCTTTGGCATAAAAATGGCTAAATAAATCTAAAAAAGTCCTATTTACTTAACTACAAAATGCTGGTCCATGTAACCTATTGGTATGCATCAAATGTAAGTTCAGGTTATTGCATCCAAATGTGAACGTGCTAATGCTCTCTGCCCCAGGACCTGCGTCAGTACCTGTCCAACCTGGCCGAACAGTGTAACTCTGAGGAGACGGACACGGAGCTCCCCACTGTGGTCATCCTGGACAACCTCCACCATATTGGCTCCCTCAGTGACATATTCAACGGCTTCCTCAACTGCAAGTACCACAAATGGTGAGTCAGAGATACATTGTAGTAAAAATCTATAAAATCTGAACTGTAAGTTTAAAATAACACATCTTTAGAAATGATCTTAAATATCATACTGGCCTATCAGCAAGATAATGCAGCAGTTAATAAATATCTAATGAATATTTTTTCTCAGTTATTTAGTGATTTCAGTGGTTGTGACTGTGAATAAGTATGCGTGTTGTTGTCTTTGTCTCTATCCAGCCCTTATGTTATTGGGACCATGAACCAAGGAGTTTCCTCCTCTCCTAACCTTGAGCTGCACCACAACTTTAGGTTTGTGACACACTCTTTAACCACAACCCTTACTTATACAGAAACGTCACTGTTTGAACCCTGTCTCTGAAAAATATTGCTTTGCCATTATAAATGTTATTGGTTCCACGGTAACTGTCAGTTACCGTGTTTGATTTCGGTCCTGTGTCAACATGTTATTTCTCATAGATTATAAACTAAAGGCATTCTTCCACAGGGAGGGCTGTAATTACATCTCTTGGATAATTAGCCTTGTTAAATTAAAATGAATGGACTGTAATGCCTGTTCTGAGTGAGGATCATTTCTGCTTGGCATGTTTGACTAGCTGGTGATTTGGCAAATACAAAGTCATTAGGGAAAGCTCATCATGGGCCAGACATTCACTCCATATGAATCTATTATAGTGAAGTGAAATAAGCCCAAAACGATTTATTGTAATGGTAGAAATGGCTGAAACAGTCTTGTTATGTATAATATGAGCTGCTTCAATGAGGAATTGGCTTCAATGTTGAGCTGATTTATTGGCTCCCCTGCTTCTGTCACACCATTGATCATCTGTCCTGTCGTAGGTGGGTGCTGTGCACCAACCACACCGAGCCGATCAAAGGTTTCCTGGGCCGTTTCCTGCGGCGGAAGCTGATAGAGACAGAGATCGATAGGAATATGCGCAGCAATGACCTGATTAAGATCATCGACTGGATCCCCAAAACCTGGCAGCACCTCAACGGTTTCCTGGAGGCACACAGCTCCTCCGATGTCACCATAGGTCAGTCACACACACACACACA